ATGGGCCAGACGAAGAAAAAACGTTTGAAGCGTACTTTTAAACGATATGAAGATATTTTTACACAGACTGTGAAAACTGGTCGAATTCAAGAAAAGTCAGTCTATTACTAAGAAAGCTAGGTACAGCAGAACATAGCAAATTTGTAGATTTTATTCTACCGAGAAGAACAAATGAATTGGAATTCTCGGAAACAGTGAAATTGCTAAAGGAGTTGTTTGTAGCAAATATGTCGCTTTGGCATAAGCGATGGTTATGCATGAATGTCGCTAAATCCGACGATCAGGATTACTTAACATATGCATCTATAGTGAATAGACATTGTGACAATTTCAGATTGGCAGAGATTACGGTTGAAGAATTCAAGTGTTTAATTTTTGCTCAAGGACTGGTATCCAGTAAGAGTGCCGAAATAAGACGTAGAGTTTTGGCTAAACTCGAATCTGAACAAAACCTTACCCTACAAAAATTAGCAGAGGAGTGTCAGCGGGCCGTAAGTTTAAAGAAAGGGTCTCAAAAAATCGAAGAAGCTGGTATTGCTTATATTAAAAAAATAAAAAAAAAAAAGTCAAATTACCCATCAGCAAAAAATTGGAGTAAAAATTCGGCGTATTTTAAAAATTGACAAGAAAAATTAAATGAAAAGAACGAGGAGGAAAAAAATATAATTGTAGACGTTGCAACGAAAGACACTGGAAGGTAAATTGCCCATATAGAAATAAGAAATGTTTCGTGTGCCACAAGAATGGACACAAAGGATCGTGTTGTAAAACGAAAAAAGTCAATAGCCGAATTAGACAAACAAATTCAAATATAAAATCAGATAGAGATTTGAGGAAATATGTGACGACTGAAATATTTAAAAAGAATATCAAATTTCAACTCGATTCGGGTTCAGATTTAACAATAATGAACTATAAAACATAGAAAAATTTTAAAAAGGCCTACAATAATGAAGTCAACGAAATGCGCTCGAACGGTAACTGGAAAGGAAATTAACTTCGAAGGCGAGGTTGTACTTCCCATGAAATTGAAAGGGATAGTTAAAAAAATAAAAGTTTTCATTCTGAAAAAGGGAGAAAACTTGATATTATTGAAACATTCGAATTGTGGGATAAACCGTTAAACTCTTTCTGCAGAAAAGTAGAAAGTAATACGCAAACAAGACAGGACATTAAAAGATGAATTAAAAAGAAAAAGTTTCCGGAAACCTTCACACCTGGTCTTGGAAGATGTAACAAGTTTGAAGCTAAATTTGAATTAAAGGAAAATACTATGCCAATTTTTAAAAGAAACGTAACGTGCCTTTCGCAAGTGTAGAGAAAATTAACGAAGAACTTGATAGGTTGGAAAAAATGGGAATTATTTCGAAAGTAGAATCTAATTCATGGGCTGCGCCGATTGTGTGCATAAAAAGAAATCAAACCAAGTCAGTCTGTGTTGATTTTTCGACAGGGTTGAACTCGGTAATTGGGACTACCATTACCCGTTACCGAGTCCGGAGGAGATTTTTAACAAGCTAAATGGTGGAGTTATATTTTCAAAAATCGACTTATCAGATGCCTATCTCCAAATTCCCGTCGAAGAGGAATGTTCGAAGTTACTAGGGATAAACATGCATAGAGGGTTATTCAAGTACAACAGGCTTTCTTTTGGTATTAAAGTGGCACCAGCCATTTTTCAACAAGCTATGGACGTCATGTTGAATGATTTAGACTTTGCGTGCGCCTACTTAGACGACATCATAGTAAGGAGCGAAACCGTCGACGAACATCGAGAGCATCTCAATCAAGTATTTAAAAAGATTCAGGATTTTAGTTTTAAAGTCAAAGAGTCAAAGAGCGAATTTGGTTTGGAGGAAATTAAGTATTTAGGTCACATAATCAACAAAAAGGGCAGATTTCCAGACCCGGAAAGGTCCATTGCGATTAGAGACATGCCGACGCCCACTAATGTGGCGATGCTACAGAGTTTTCTAGGGCTCGCAAATTATTATCAAGCGTTCATTAAAGGAATGTATAATCTAAAAGCTCCGTTGAATGAACTGCTAAAAAAGACAAGGCATGGGAATGGACGGTAGAATGTCAGAAAGCCTTTGATGAAATAAAGAAAATGCTTACGTCCGACCTCTTTTTAACTCATTACAATCAAAACTTGGTATTGTAGTGGCAAGTGACGCCAGTTCATACGGGATAGGAGCGTGTATTCAACACATAATGCCAGATGGTTCTAGAAAACCAATTGCACATGCTTCGAGAACTTTACTCCCAGGAGAAAGAAGTTACTCACAAATCGAAAAAGAGGCGTTGAGTATCATTTTTGCCATAACAAAATTTCATAGATACATCCACGGCAGACATTTTATGCTTGAAACGGATCATAAACCACTGTTCACTATTTTTGGTTCAAAGAAAGGGTTACCCGTTTATACGGCAAATCGTCTGTTGAGATGGGGAACCATTCTTCTCAATTATGATTTTCACATAAAGCACCTATCATCCAAAAATATAATTCATGCGGATAGTTTATCAAGACTCGTTCCGAGTCAAGAAGAAAGATTCGAAGAATCAATTATGGCAAATATCAGAGCAGATTATGAGGTGAAAAGCATGGTAAACAACATTGTAAGAGAGCTACCGGTTACACTAAAGGAAATTAAAAAAGAAGCTGAAAGCGATGATTTCATTTAGAAATAAAAAAGCAAAATGGTAGCAAATGACCAAAAAAAGTGCAGAAGATTTATTCAATAGGTGAAGGAGTTTTATTATATGGTGAGAGAGTAGTAGTACCAAAAAAGTTGCAGAAAAGAATACTTCGGGACTTTCATATGGGTCACCCGGGGGTTAATAGAACAAAAAGCTTAATGCGAAGCTTTGTATATTGGAAAGGAATGGATGTGGATATCGCAAACATGGTTCATCGATGTAGAGGGTGTGCGTTAGCAGCTAAGGCACCACCTATAGTACACAAACCATGGCCCAAGACGGATCATCCGTGGACAAGATTACACATTGATTTCGCTGGTCCAGTAGAAGATTTTTACTACTTAATAGTGGTAGATAGTTTTACAAAATGGCCGGAAGTACTACGCTGCAAAAAGCTTACGTCCAATACCACAACAACTTTCTTGCATGAACTATTTGCACGGTTCGGTGTGCCAGAGTGTATTGTGAGTTACAATGGTACACAATTCACTTCTGAAGAATTTAAGGAATTTTGTGAGTTATATCAAATTAACCACAAAACGACGCCGCCGTATCATCCGAGGTCCAATGGACTCGCAGAAAGATTTGTTGATACTTTAAAGCGCGCTCTGAAGAAAGCCTCAGGAGTTCCAACGGAAAAGGCGCTTCAGCAAATTTTACAAGTATACAGAATCACACTCAAACATGGTACCAGCGGAACTAATGTTCACTAGGAAAGTTAAGTCAGTGTTTGACAAACTTTTGCCAGGAAAAATAGAGTAAAGAATACTATGCATACAGCGAGAAAAAGATACACCTCCGGAGAGAAAGTGTTTTTCAAGTGCTACAAAAACAACGGTGAGTTCTGGGAGCGAGGCATAGTGGACAAGAGAATCGGTGACCTGGTTTACATAATTAAAGGGCCGAAGAATACTCATAAAAGGCACCAGAATCAACTTAAAAAATGTTACGTTATAGAGCATGAAGAGAGTATATCGGATGAGGAGGAAGATCCCAATGAGGTAATGTAAGATATGTTTCAAGTAGAACCTCCGCAGAATACTCCTGAACCGAGAAGATCCGGTAGGAAACATAAGTTCACGGACCCATTGGACGTGAATCCAAAACGGAAAAAAATATTAAAATTAAGCGGATGGACATATGCATATGAAGTATGCAAATGGGTCTACAAAGAAATAGCCATAATCATCAACCCATATAGGAAGCCGGTTTGAAATCCAAAAGGGATTCCAAGGCTTGGGAGGGGGGTGTTTTGGCAGGATCCACCTAATTTGCATAGTGGAGTACCGATCATATAAATATGGTTGGTACCGGGAAGAGAGGGAGGAATCAAGAGATTCAACCAGAGACTCTGCCCGACTGCGACTCAGTCAACACATTCTCCAGGAACGGTCTTACCAGGAATATACAAAAGACTATATGTAAATATTGTGTACACTTTCTTGTTTCAATACAATTTGTTCTAAGTACATTTTGTGTTGCATTATTATTCCATGCATTAGTCAAGTTTCAACACTATCACAGTTTTTTTAATTTATATCTATCATATACATATATATATATATATATATATATATATATATATATATACTTAAAAAATCAACTCTCAGTTATATATATATATATATGTATATGCTTTAAAAATCAAGTGTCAGTTTATATATATATATATATATATATATATATATATATATATATATACTGTTATAATTCTTTGAACTTTTTCACCTATCGTACTACATCATGCAAAGAAAATGACAGGGCGAAACATAGCTCAACTTCTGTCCTAAATACACAATCCTTCCGTTAAACGTTTTTTTCTATTTTATATTTTATAAGACGCTTTCCTCTTCAAGTCAAAGCGAACGCGAGTTTTTGGCGCCTCTGATGTCCAAGTAGTAATTTCTTTCTTTCTTTCTTTCTTTTTTTCTTTTAATCAGCATGTGTACTTGGTTTTGGTTTGTCAGCGTTGTGTTGAGCTTACAACTCGTTTCTCTCATTCATTTGATTCGACAAACTCTCCAATGGCCCGAGGCGTCTTCGAAGGCGGCCAAGAGAAAAGAATGAGACCAAAATTTAAAGGAGAAACCGAATGATATATTAAATGATCGAGAGTCTGGTTGGGTGGATGGAAAGAAAAATGACAAAAATAATCGAAAATCGAAAGTACAAAAAAAAAAACAAACCAAAAATAAAACAAGAAAAAAGATGATTATAAAATGTATCAAAATGTTCAATGAGTGTGAGAAAAGGTAAGCGTAAATAATAGCAGCGATGATACATGATCACAGAAAACTTTAGAGGATTGGAAGGAAGAAAGAAAGGGTGGAAGGGAGGGAGGGAGGAATGAAGGAGTCACGAAAGGGAGGGAGGAAATAAAGGAGGAAGGAAGGTAGAAATGAACGCACAGAGAAAGGAATGGTGGGATAAGGGAAGGAAGGAAAGGAAAAGAAAAGAGGCACAAAGGAAGGAAGGAAGAAAAGAAAGAGGGGTAGGAGGGAGAAAGAGATGGAAGATGAAGGAACGAAAGAAGGGAAGGATAGAGAAAGAGATGGAGGATGGAGGAAGAAAAAAGGGGAAGAAGGGAGAAAGAGATGGAGAATGAAGGAAAGAGGGGATGGAGGGAGAAAGAGACGGAGGATAAGGGAAGGAAAGAGGGGAAGAAGGGAGAAAGAGATGGAGAATGAAAGAAAGAGGGGAAGGAGGGAGAAAGAAATGGACGATGAAGGAAGGAAAGAGGGGAAGGAGGGAGAAAGAGATCGAGGATGAAGGAAGGAAAGAGGGGATGGAGGGAGAAAGAGATCGAGGTTAAGGGAAGTAAAGAGGGGTAGGATGGAGAAAGAGATGGAGGATGAAGGAAGGAAAGAGGGGAAGAAGGGAGAAAGAGATGGAGGATGAAGGAAGGAAAGACGGGAAGGAGGGAGAAAGAGATATAGGATAAAGGAAGGAAAGAGGGGTAGGATGGAGAAAGAGATGGAGAATGAAGGAGGGAACGAGGGGAAGGAGGGAGAAAGAGATGGGGGATGAAGGAAGGAAAGAGGGGATGAAGGGAGAAAGAGATGGAGGATAAGGGAAGGAAAGAGGGGTAGGATGGAGAAAGAGATGGAGGGTGTAGGAAAGAAAGAGGGGAAGAAGGGAGAAAGAGATGGAGGATAAAGGAAGGAAAGAGAGGAAGGAGAGAGAAAGAGATGGAGGATAAAGGAAGGAAAGAGGGAGAAAGAGATGGAGGATAAAGGAAGGAAAGAGGGGAAGGAGAGAGAAAGAGATGGAGGATAAAGGAAGGAAAGAGGGAGAAATAGATGGAGGATAAAGGAAGGAAAGAGGGAAGGGAGAGAAAGAGATGGAGGAGGATAACGGAAGGAAAGAGGGAGAAATAGATGGAGGATAAAGGAAGGAAAAAGGGGAAGGAGGGAGAAAGAGATGGAGGATAAAGGAAGGAAAGAGGGAGAAATAGATGGAGGATAAAGGAAGGAAAAAAGGGAAGGAGGGAGAAAGAGATGGAGGATAAAGGAAGGAAAATGGGGAAGGAGGGAGAAAGAGATGGAGGATGAAGGAAGGAAAGAGGGGAAGGATAGAGAAAGAGATGGAGGATAAAGAAAAGAAAGAGTTGTAGGAGGGAGAAGAGATGGAGAATGAACGACGGAAAGAGGGGAAGAAACGGAGAAAGATGGAGGATGAAGGAAGGAAAGAGGGGAAGGAGGGAGAAAGAGATGGAGGATGAAGGAAGGAAAGAGTGGAAGGAAGGAAGAAGAGATGGAGGATGAATGATTGAAAGAGGGGAAGGAGGGAAGAATTGATGGAGGATGAAGGAAGGAAAGAGGGGAAGGAGGGAGAAAGAGATAGAGGATAAAGGAAGGAAAGAGGGATAGGAGGGAGAAAGAGATGGAGGATGAAGGAAGGAAAGAGGGGAAGGAGGAGAATGATTGAGAATGAAGGAAGCAAAGAGGGGAAGGAGGGAGAAAGAGATAGACGATGAAAGAAGGAAAGGGGGGAAGGAGGGAGAAAGGGATGGAGTATGAAGGAATGAAAGAGGGGAAGAAGGGAGAAAGAGATGGAGGATGAAGGAAGGAAAGAGGGGAAGAAGGGAGAAAGAGATGGAGGATAAAGGAAGGAAATAGGGGAAGGAGGGAGAAAGAGATGGAGGATAAAGGAGGGAACGAGGGGAAGGAGGGAGAAAGAGATGGGGGATGAAGGAAGGAAAGAGGGGAAGGAGGGAGAAAGAGATAGAGGATGAAGGAAGTTAAGAGGGGAAGGATGAAGAGATGGATGAAGGAAGGAAAGAAGGGAAGGAGGGGGAAAGAGATGGAGGATAAAGGAAGGAAATAGGGGAAGGAGGGAGAAAGAGATAGAGAATGAAGGAAGGAAAGAGGGGAAGGAAGGAGAAAGAGATGGAGTATGTAGGAAGGAAAGAGGGGAAGGAGGGAGAAAGAGATGGAGTATGTAGGAAGGAAAGAGGGGAAGGAGGGAGAAAGAGATGGAGGATGAAGGAAGGGAAGAGGGGATGGAAAAAAGGAAGAAAGTGTGGAAGGGAGAGCGGAATGGAAGAAGTAAAGGAAGAAAGTGATGGTGTGGGAGGAATGAAGGAAATGCGGAAGTAATGGTTGGACTAGGCAGAAAGTGTGAAAGGAATGAAGATATGAAGGGAGGGCAGAAAGAAAAAAAAGGAAAGATGGTTGAAAAGAAGAGCGGAAGGTAAGAAACAAGGAAGGAAAGAAAGAAGGATGTGATGGTGAGGGAGGAAGGAAATAAAAAAGGTATGAAGGAAGGAAGAGTGGGAGTAAGTAAGTATAGGTGGGAGGAAGGAAAGTGTAAGGTAAAGACGAAGGAATGGATAGAGGTAGGAAAGGGCAAGGAAGGAAGGAATGAAGAACGGAAGAAGGGATTAAGTAAGGAAGGAAAAAAGGAGGAAGTAATGAAAGAAAAGAATGAAAGAAGGAGGGAAGGAAAGAAAGAAATGATGGAAGTAATGAATGAATGAATGAATGAATGAATGAATGAATGAAGGAAGAAAGGAAGAAAGGAAGAAAGGAAAGAAAGTAAATAAATAAGTAAGTAAGGACGGTTGTCATGGAATTTAAAAAAATAACAATGCTTAATAAACAGACAAATCCAAAAGCTTGACTAAACTCTATGAGAAAGAAAGAAAGAAAGAAAGAAAGAAAGAAAGAAAGAAAAAGAAAGAAAGAAAGAAAGAAAGAAAGAAAGAAAAGAAAAAAGAAAGAAAAAGAAAGAAAGAAAGAAAGAAGGAAAGAAAGAAAGAAAGAAAGAAAAGAAAGAAAGAAAGAAAGAAAGAAAGAAAGAAAGAAAAAAAAGAAAGAAAGAAAAAAGGAAAAAAAAAAAAAGAAAGAAAGAAAGAAAGAAAGAAAAAAGAAAGAAAGAAAGAAAAAGAAAGAAAGAAAAAAAAGAAAGAAAGAAAGAAAGAAAGAAAGAAAGAATGAGTAACAATTAAGACAAATGAACACGGAAAAATTGTTTGGAAATTTTGGAAAAAACAAAACAAAAATGGACGTGAAAGAATGAATGAAAGCGATGTTTTACATTAAATAAAAAAAGTTTTGAATAAATGGAAGAAAAAAAAATGTAAAACTATTGTAAATTAAAGAAGGAATATGAAGACTAATGAACGAAATAATTGTTAAGAATGAAAATAATTGAAAAATACTAAATGAAAAGTCGACAAAGAAGAATAAAAAGTAAATACACTTAAGAAAGGAAAGAAGTAACACGGGAAAAGTGTCGATAAAAAAACAAATGAATGAAAAATTTCATATGAAAGAAAAACAAAATAGAAATGATAGAAGGAGGCGGAAGTTGGGAATATAAAAACTAATAAACGAGAAAGTTCGTAAAAAGAAATCTACTAAGATGGAAAGAAGGAGAAAAAAAGATGGAAGAGGAAAAATAATGAATCTTAAATTCCGTAATGAAAAAAATAATCGAAGAAAGAAACAAACGGCGGAACATCGTGGAATATAAAAATCTAATGAATGAAAAAATCCGAAAGGGACCCCCCCTCCGCCCCGAGAAACGAAGAAAGGTGGAAAAAGCCTTGAATAGTAAAACTAATGAATAAAAAAGTGCGGATGTACTAAATGCGTCAAGAAATAACACAAACGAGAGAATAAGTAATAAAGCAACTTTGTCACTGCATTAAATTGTTACAATGACAAAATAAATCGCGTAAAATCCTAAACGAGAGAAAGAGAAAGAGTAGAATGTAGTGGTCAAAGAATATCAAACCAGGGAAAATAAATATATGAAGAAAATAAAAACAACTGCATCGTAAATAAAAACTTAAATAAGAGATAAAATATGTTGTCGTTTAGATTAGCAATTTGTCGCTTGTGTCGAAAATAAAACCGAATAAAATATATCTAAAACAAAAAAAAAAACGTATGCCAAAGCAGGGAAAACGTGTAAAGGTAATTGTATTTAGACGAGAAATAAATTTCAGAAAGCCGAAATACAAACACAAGGGAGGTGAATCCTAAGCAATGTGTATGCGAGAGAGAGAGAGAGAAAAAAAAACGCAAATCAAATACTAAATTGCTGGAAACAAGTCCTTTTTTCCTTTGTAAATAGATCAGTGACACAAAACACGTTGTTCTTTGATTCGTAATTACAGAACTCAAGAACCGTTACTTCCAATAGACGGAAGATTGTTTGTTTTTTTTTGTTCCTTTGTATACCAGGTTTCTTTTCGGTTTGTTTGTTGTCATTCGCCGTCGCACCGAATGAATAAATAAATAAATAAGAAGCATCTGCCCATGCTTTTCCCAATTTTTCACATGTTTTTCTCAACCTATATAGACACAAACACACGTACATGTTAAAATGTGCAACGTATAAAGTTACGCTATGTAAAAATCATTCAAATGTCATCATTAATTAGTAAAGTATTCGGAAAAGCATTCTCAACTCGAGCGCGCATACCTGCCAAAATCAAAAAAAAAAAATATTTAGATACTAGTCTGTGTATTTGTAAGAAGAATGCCAACTCTGGTTTTCAAAGATTACAAGAAAATACGTGACAATAAAGAATAGTCGATAGAGAAAAGTTAAAATAAGTAATCTGAATTCTTCTATGATATATATTTTAAACTTTAAGAAAGACAGGGTGCTGATGGGCTGGGATATAAGAACCGAAGACAACGAATTTATACAGCGAATATTACACAGAAACATATAGCGTCAAGCAATTACGAAAGTTCGGTAAATCAACCGGAGAAAGTATGAACCCGAAGAATTTAATAGAATTACTTTTCCAAAAGTGAAGCACAGAGTCGATAAGAAAGAAAAGAAAAAGAAGAAAGAATTGAAGGAAAGGGAAAAGCAGCGAATATGAGAACAGATGAAAAGAAAGAGAAAAAGATGGGAAAAGTTTATATATATATATATATATATATATATATATATATATATATATATATATATATATATATATATATATATATATATGTGTGTGTGTGTGTGTGTATGTATGCGTGTGTGTGCGGGGTGTGTATATATGTGTGTGTATGTGTGTGTGTGTATGTGTGTGTGTGTGTATATATATATATATATATATATATATATATATATGTGTGTGTGTGTGTGTGTATTGTCTGAAGTTTTGCAACTTGCTGTTATATCATTGTGTATATCATTTAGTTCCTACTAGTTTTCTGTGCTGTTTTTCTATTGATATATGAAAAGATTTTTGTTCATGTCCTCTTCGGCCTTCCCTGATTTAATTTCTTTGTTTTTTTTTGTTTTTTTTTTTAAGTAGTTTTTTTTCATTGCAATATTTCCTCGAATTTACGTGTTTCATACAAATTAGTTCGTTTTTTTTTTGTCTCACTTCTTTCTGAATTTAAGAAAAAAACATTTAATTTTTTTTGTTTGTATTTGCGTCACTGGGAAATATTTTCACAACTTGAATTCCATATGTTTTTTTTTTTTCCTTTTACGCTCGTAATTTTTTTCAATGTTCTTTACTTTTCCTTCAGATTGAATATTAGTGTCTCTTCCCTCGGAATTTTTTTTACTCTTCCAAGAGCACATCATCAGTCTGTTTCAATATACATCAGGGGAAATTCTGCTAATTTACTAAAAGTTGTTCCTTTATTTTACTGTTCGCAATTTTCAAAAGAAAAAGAAACATCCTTTTCAGTAAAGCATCTTTACAGCCTTTATATGAAGTTCGTTTGTACCATGCACAACATAAACTAAATCATAATCGAAGAAATTTATGTAAAAATAGGGATTAAAATATTTAAAAAAATAAACAGAATTTTGATATTTGCTGACGTTGTAAACAAGATGAGTACTTATCCTTTTCAAAATCTTTCTTTGTAAAATTCTTTTTCTTCCACTTTCTCTATCACGTAACTTCTGTCTCGTTTTCTCTCGTTTTCTCTCGTTTTCCTTCTCACTCTCCGACTATCTAGGATTGTTTCTATCTTCCTCTTTTCCTTTCTTATTTTTTTCAACCTTTCTTTCTCTATTTCTTTCTTCGACCACGTCTTCTTTTCTCCCGCTCATGTTTAATTCAACTTATTCTCTCTCTCTCTCTCTTTCACGTTATATCTCTCTCACACTTTATCTCTCTCTCTCTCTAGCTTTCTTTTCTTGAACTTTTTCTTCGTTTGTACATCTGCCTCTCTTCAGTATGCCTTTAGCAAAATAATATTCGCGACGAGTTTTTACCATCCAACATCGCCTGCTACACAGACGCGTTGTACGCGCTCACTGACTCCCGCTCTCCGATCCAACTCCCTCTTTCCATCAGGTCCTCCCACTCCTCCTCCAAGTTTATATCGAACATTCGTACATGCGTTCGATTTGTGCCCCTCCCCTTGTGCTAGCTGCAACTCTGCAACGTGCACTCCCACTTATTGCAGTCTCTCCCTCCTACGTATATTCAGAATACACACACACACACACACACACACACACACACACACACACACACACACACACACACACATACACACAAACATACACAAACTCAAAGAAAACACTCACTCATACTAGCAACATTCTCACGCACCGACCAGACACGCGGCAACATACCTACTTTTTCTCACACAGACAGTCGCATGCACACAATTAGAGTCATACTCACTCACACATGCACAGTCACATACACAGAGAAAGGGTAGTACTAATACACCGAACAGTTGAGCAACATTAGACCCACGTGAAAAAGACTCTCACATACTAGCCTTCTATGTAATTTCTATCTCCGCTGTGGTTAGTCTGCAACTTGTCGACTTTGCAGACCCTACACTCATTTGGCATTCTGTAGCCACCGGTTACGTTGCCTCGCTGCTATTTTCAGTGTGACCATCAGTCTCCGAATAGACGAATTCCCCTTACCGCCCTGACAGTAGTCATCAAAACAAGGAAAAAAGTTTTCTTAGAAAAAAAAAAATTGCTAAAACATTACAAATGAGAAAAGACAAACATTTTTTTTTTCAGTTAGGAATATTACCAGTTTATTTGTAAAAACTTACCACAAATTACAATTTTTTTTTTTGTTTTTCTTTTGTTTTGTTTTTTACTTTAAAATATACATACTTTTTGCAATTTCGGCCGTCGTTCAAAAAGGCGTCATTTATCGGGAATGATATCCATTTGTTTGAAAATATGTAGTACATATATTTTTGAGAAAGTTTGAAACATCAAAGCAGCCACAAATTAGCGACACTACAAAATGAAAAATAATGAGAACTGATTATATTTATGATATAAAACAGGTGAAAAAATAACATGGAAATGAAACATAAATAAATGCAAAGATATACACAAAATACATGCACTGCAAATCATTTCCACTGTCAAAAACGCAGATAGAACTCCTACAGCTGTCGTACAAACGATAAATACAGATTTGAAATTAAGAAAATATTAATTAGTTTGTTTGCTAGGTAATTATTGTTTAGCAATCATTAACAATTTCAAATTTCGCCCGATAACTTTTCTAACCTCGTGTTTTTGTTTTTGTTTTTCAACAATACTTATATCAACTTATATATCTACTTATATCAACTTATATCAAAACTTGTTTCAACGGTGGACAACGTAATCGGAGGAACAAAATCAAGTTTAGTATTTGTAAGAAAAAATTGTTCAATTAAATAACGAAAAAAAAAACGGTACTTAATATATATATCGATCGATTTTGAAAACAAATAACATTTATAGGACAACGTGTTGTATTGGTCAACAAGCTTAACCTGTAAACCATTAATAGTGATTTCAATATTCACTGGGTGCTCCATACTTGTGACCTTGTACCAAGCTAAGTAAAGAACAAACTTTATGGGACTTATATTAAAAAAAAGCTAAATATCTTTACCGGATCAGAAAGCGTAAGTAAATTTTTATTTAACTGATTACTTGTGATATTTTTCTCCACAGATTAGAAATGTCTTTCGATGTAAGATTTGATCCTGGATTTAAAAATGGATTTTTGATACTTAATTATTAAAACATATTTGTATGCAATAAA